CCCTCAGTACTGACTCTCCAACAGTGCAGCACACCCTCAGTACTGACCCACCAACAGTGCAGCACACCCTCAGTAGTGGCCCCCAACAGTGCAGCACACCCTCAGTACTGACTTCCCTCAACAATGCAGCACACCCTCAGTACTGACTCTCCTCAACAATGCAGCACACCCTCAGTACTGACTCATTTCAACAGTGTAGCACACCCTCAGTACTGACCCCCAACAGACAGCACACCCTCAGTACTGACTCCCCTCAACAGACAGCACACCCTCAGTACTGACTCGCTTCAACAATGCAGCACACCCTCAGTTCTGACCCCCAACAGTGCAGCACACCCACCGTACTGACCCTCAACAGACAGCACACCCTCAGTACTGCAGAGGTTTGCCAGCCTTGGCGTTGTGTGCAAGCCCTGGAGTGAGAGTGGAAACAGGAATCTTGTAATACAAAATGATGGTAAATCTTTGGAATTCTCCCCTCGTGAGAGCTGAATTATCAGAAATTAAGCACATTCACAAATTATGGTGACAGATTCTGTGTAAAATTAATAGAATCTGAATGGTGGGTTCGTTGGTGGTGCACTGATTCTAGGGTTTTGTTTTTTTTTCTTTATTCATTAACGGGATGTGTGCATCGCTGGCTAGGCAGCATTTATTGCCCATCCCTAATTGCCCAGAGGCAGCCACATTGCTGTAGGTCTGGAGTCACATGTAGACCAGAACAGGTGAGGATGGCAGTTTCCTTCCCTAAAAGGGCATTAGTGAACCAGATGGGTTTTTCCCAACAGTTAACAATAGATTCATGTTCACCATTAGATTCTTAATTCCAGATATTTATTGAATTCAAATTCCACCATCTACTATGGTGGGATTTGAACCTGGGTCCCCAGAACATTATCTGAGTCTCTGGATTAACAGTCTAGCAATAATGCCCCTAGGCCATCGCCTCCCCATGAGGTGAGAAGCACAACTGGAGTTGAAGATCCTAAGCTGCCATCTAGTAAAGGCCAATCCCACTCCTATTATTAACTGTTCATATAAATCGTTATAGTTAACAGAAAATTACTTTCTCTGTAACCTATGAAACAAGACTAACCTCCCTGGAAACAATCAGGGAACCATTTCATTTAACACAAAACAATTGATGACAAATGCATGTTTTGTACCTGTTCCATTTTACTGAAGCAAGGCCTCCTTTCTGCAATTCTAATTGACCCTCTTTTATGACCCCAGTCTCTTGCTGTGGGGTGTAAGTGCCACTCTCCTGCATCTGATGGGTCTCATAAATGTTATTTTGAATGATTTGGTTCAGAAGCTGAATGATCTATAATAAAAATTGATTGAAGACAAATTAACTCATCACAGAAAAAGCATTCAGAGCACTGTCAAAAAAAAGACGAGGCTAACTGAAAATTCTCATAAATGTCAGATAATGCTGAAGACAAGATAGTGATTCAAACAACAGAAAATAAAGCAGCTCATTCTATTCAAAATTTTTTTCAACAAAGCAGGAATTTACTAAATATACAATAAAGTGTTCCATATGGTTTATTATCATGGTTCATTTTAAAAATTAAATAAAGTTTACATTTATTTGTACTGAAGTCTTTGATCTCTGCATTGGTGAAAGTATAGTTACAAAAATTGGGTTCAGTACTCCAGTGTAACAGTAAGAAAAGACAGCCAAGTTTTCCCACTTCCAAAGAAAATGCAGGGGACAGGAGGATGAGTGTGCATAGAATTAGGCTCAGCTTTGATGCATCTCTCCTTAACCAACCTCCTCAGTAGCCACAAGAACTCCACACAGGTTCAAAAATGAATAATCAGCACTTGGCTAAGGTGTCAAACGGCAACAAGCACCTGTCAAGTCATACCTGAGAATGAGCCTGCCTCGTCGGGGGAGGAAGAACAAACAAAACTACAAACAGCACCGAGTAAGTACTATAGATTCAGCTGACATTTCCACATGCACTTTTCCCATTGAGCAAAACAAGCAAAGGAAATTGTCCAAAGTCTCTCCCTACAACAGTCAAGAGAAGATAAACACTTAAAAGGGTACACTAAAGTAGCACTTGAAGTGTGCAGATATCTTTGATTATTACCTTTACTCTATCTTCAGCAGAAGTCGCTTCAAGTTCATAATCACGGTGTGCTAAAAAGGAAATGCTGATCTTCTGTCCTTCAATATGTTCACATGATTTGATACATTTAAATGGAAACTGTTTCTTAATAATACCTTTCTCAATGTTACACAAAATCCTTGAATTATATTCAATCTGAAAGGAAATACACATCAATCTGTCATCAGTACGCAAGAATCACTGCAGTCAATTGCAACAGTAGCAATGGTCAATGTTTAGAGAATATTAAAAAAAGGAAAATGCTTCTTGAGGGTATTGATCCTGACATAAGCAATAATGAAATAAGCAACAATAACAAAGGCCAACAGTTTTCAGGAAATTCCACATAGTGTCTGAGTAATTTGTGTTTTAATTTTTCATTTCTTGTTGTAATTTTAATCAATTTTAAGAGGCAGGAGACTGCTTTAATTGGTAAACATGGTTCCTTGGTGACACAATGAAATTCGATTGAGCTGTTTCTCATGCTGGTGTGTAACTCTGATTACTCTAGGATGATGCTGATTACCAAAAAAGCAAAGCTCTCCCAGTACCCAGACCAACATCATCCTGATACTGATACCACTAAAATCAGAACATGTGGATATTCATCTCATCGCTGTGAGTTTGTGAGGGCTTGCTGTGTCCAAATTGGCTGCTGAATTTTCTTATATTGCTTCGTGAATACATTTCAAGTATTTTTCATTAACTGTGAAGTGTTTTGGGGCAGCACATTGTCAGATAAAGTGCTACAAAAGCACAAGTCTATTCTTAATTAATACTGCAAACGCTCGACATTACGAATATTGCAGGATGGAATAGCAGAGAACTGTACCTATGTATCTCAATCAAAGCCCAGCTATCCAAAATGATTGGCAAAACTTTATTTTTTAAGAGAAAAGTGGGAAGATGTGCATGAAAGCAGGAGGGACTTCCACTCAAAGTCAGGTCCAGCTTCCCACACAATTATGTTCTTCTCTACTCACGATGCACTCAAATGCAGGTAAAATGCCAAATTTTATGGACAGGCAGGTTGTCAGCAGGTTCTGTCCCCAAAGGCTTGCAAAGTACAAAGGCACAAACCACAAATTATGGCAATTTGAGTTGAGTCCTCTTTTGAGTTCAGCCTTTGCTTGCCCAGTCAGGTATGTAGGCATCAGGTAGCATGGTTGCTTCGCTTGGGCAGTCATGCTGGCCTCATCAGACTTGCCCCTAACACTGTAAAAGATTACATAAAACAGAGTTGTCAAGTGGTCAACCCGGTCAGGCAAGGGTTTTGGCAAAGAAAAGACTTGTTTATGAAGGAGTAAATTTGGTGAAGAAGTTAATATTCCACGGAACTTGGACAAAGCAGTCAACACTGCCAGGTACATACCTCACATGTACATTTGGATGTATGTTTACACGTTTCCACTTTTGGACAACAAGATTGTTTCCATGTATGTAATTTTAGCAGGCTGGAGTATGTATACTCATAAGAGGAAGTGATCGTTAGTCATATTATTGCTCCACTGTTATTCCAGAGACACATGTAATATTTTGGGGTCCCACGTTTGAAACCCGTCATGGCAAATGTTGGAATTTGAATTCAATGAAAATCTGGAATTAAGAGTCTAATAATGACCATTGTCAATTGTTGGAAAAACCCATTAGGTTCACTCATGTCATTTAGGGAAGGAACTGCCATCCTCACCTGGCCTATAAGGGACTCCAGACCCACAGTAATATGTTTGAATCTTAACTGCCCTCTGGGCAATTAGGGATGAACAATAAATGGTAGCCAATCCAGCGATGCCCTCATCCCATGAATAGATTTTAAAGAAGTATTTATAGTGTCATATAGTGCAAAAACAGTCCCTTCGGCCCAAATTGTCCATGCCAACCAGGTTTCCTGAACTAAAGTAGTCCCTTGTGCCTGCATTTGGCCCATATCCCTCTAAACCTTTCCCATGGTTCCAAATGATTCACCTGAAATGATACTGAAAACTGAAAACCAATGTTTTAACCTGTCATCAAGAAATTTTTGCCTCCCATCCAGTTACGTTCCCTCTTCTGCCTTTCTAAGAACTCTGGGCAGATCCAGAAGATCCCATCTTTTAACTCTGTTTCTCATTCCACAGATGCTTCCTAAATTGTTGAGTTTTTCCAGTTTATATTAATTCATACAGATTATCTAGTTATTTATTTAATTGATGTTGTGTGTGAACTGGAAAACCATGTTTTCTATACTACAACAATAGCTAAACTTTTAAAATGTTACTCTTGTTTTAAGGGACTTCAGGATATCCTAAGGTCACAAATGATACTCCAAACTTTTATATGAACATTTACAATAAAAACAGAATGGCTGATCTGTCTGTGTTTAGAATTCTTTGTGTCCATCGACTCCTTATGACCCTTGATGCCCCTCCCTAACAATAACGTACCCATCTCTGCTTAAAAATATTTGAAGACCTCACCTCCACCACACAACCCTCTGAGAGCAAAATGTTCCTCATATTTGTCCTGAGGGATGACCCCAATTTTAAAACAGTGCCCCTTAATTCTAGACTGACCCATAAGAGGAAATATCCTTTCCATGTCCAAGACCATTCAGAGCCTTAACCACTTCAATCAAACCGCCTCTCAGTCTTCTAAAGCCGAGTGGAAACAAGTGCAGCCTGTCTGGCCTATCCTCATAAAATAACCTGCTCATTTCAAGTACCAATCAAGGCCTCCTCAGAACTGTCTGCAAAGCATTTACATCTTTCCTTAAATAGAGAGACCAAAACTGCACGTAGTATTCGAGATGTGGTCTCACCACTGCCCTGTACACCTGAAACACAACATCCTCATTTTTAAGTTCAATTCATATCATAAATAGAGGTTAACATCCCATTAGCCTCTTGATTACGTGCTTTACCTGTACACTAACATTTTCTGACTCATGCACCAGAACACTTACATCTGTCTGCACCTTGGAATTTTCCAAATCCTTCCTGCCAAAATTAACAAGTTCACATTTTCTCACATTGTACTCCATCTGCTAGATGTTTTCCAAATCAGTCTATATCCCTTTGAAAATTCCTTATGTCTTCATCACATACTTTCCTATTTATCCCTACTTTGTTTCATGTTGTGCATCAAATGTGTAAAACTGTCTTAACATACATTTTCATTTTTTAACTGAATTACTTGATGGAAATGAATTACAGAAAAACTGATCTTACTTATTCCAATACCAAAATTCCATGTGTTTTAGTTGCAAGGCTTTTTATCTCAAGTTCTGATAATGAATACCAGCAGCTCAACTGTTTCACTTGTCTTGATTTTAAACATTTAAATATCAAAAAAATGTAAAGTATTTCCTGTCAGAAACTCATTGCCAAACATGACAAATACATGGAAAAACAGAATTTGTTCTGAAGGGTCACTTAATTTGAAATGTTAACTGTTTTCTCTCCACAGATGCTGCCAAACCTGCTGAATTTCTCCAGCAATTTCTGTGTTTGTTTCAGATTTCTAGCATCCACAGGTTTTGTTTTATGACAAGTAAATTGCCTAGATTAATTGTTCAGACTTAGACTATTTATCACAATTAATTATTGACCACTGTTGATAGGTTTCTAATTGGTTCCTCCCAGTTTGAAGATAAACGCACAGCCCTGTAAAGATGTAGGGAACTTGGTAAATTTATTTGATATCAGGATATGGAAAAAAAATCACAAGACATTTTACTTACATTCAAATCATTATAATCTCAACAATCTTGGTTACTTGAAGGAGAGTAATTTTCTGGCTACTGCCTTTGTACAATAGCATAAAGCAGGCAATAGTAAAACAGTAGGCTTTCGTGCTTTTCTTTTGGCTTTATTTCAATTCACTGCACCTTATATTTTAATGCATTTATGTGATCTAAAAATCACTGACATCATTTGTTACCCATCCCTAAATATTCTTGTGATGTGATGGTGAGCTCTTCAATCACCTCAGTGTATGTGGACTAGGTGCACCGACATTGCTGTTAGTTAGGGGTTTCCATTATTTTGACCCAGCAACAGTGGTATAGTTTCAACTCAGAATGGCATATGACTTGGAGGGGGACTTGTAGGTCATGACGTTCCCATGTTTCTGCTACCTCTGTTTTTCTAGGAGCAGAAGTTGTACGTTTGAAAGGTGTTGTTGAAGAAGCCTTGTCAAGTTATTGCAGTTGATCTTGTTGATAGAATACACTGCTGCCATTGTGTGCTGGTATTGAAGGAATTGCTATGTTCTGGGTGGTGTCAAGCTTCTTGATGTCTTTGGAGTTGCACTCATGATTTGTACATTGTAGACAGTGGACAGGATTTGGGGAGTTAGGAAGCGAGTTACTTGCCACAGAATTCCCAGCTCCAGATCTGTTCTTGTAGCCACAATATTTATATTGCTGATTCAGTTGCATTTCTGGTGAATGGTAACCACAGGAAGTTGGTAATGGGCATTCAGCAATGGTAATGCAACTAATGTCAATGGAAGCTGGTTAGATTCCGTGCTGTTTGGTCATTGCCTGGAACCTCTAAGGAATTAATGTTACTTGCCAGTTATCAGCCTAAGCTTGAGGGCTGTAAAGGTCTTGCCACATAGTAGATGCCCTATGTTAATACCCGAGTAGGTTTCTGTACACAAGTACAAAGAGGCAGAATGTACACCTTTTTGTTTTGTTTAGAGAGAGAGAAAGGACAGATGAGCAGAGAGTCATATCATTAATGAGTGCAAGAGAAAATGATCCAAAAATGCATCATTTTAAAGGGTTAATAATGAAATAAAAAGTTTTGCAAACAGATCATGCTCCCTTAAGCATCTTCAGCTGTGGCCTGAGATATTTAATTACTGAGAAAGTTATTCAACTTACCATCAACACTCTCTTCTGCCTCCTGTATCGATTATATTTGTAGACAGAAAAGTTGTATTGTGTATTTTCAGGTATCTAAGCACAAAACAAAACAAACTGAAAATAAATATGGTTATGAATTGCATAGACAAAGGAGTACCTTATTGCACAGGCTACAATCATCTTCGATTTTTTATTTGTTCATGGGACTAAGTTTCCAAATCCCAACTGGTGTCAAGGGAAGGAAATGAGTCAGGTGTTAACAGCTGTACTGTCTCATCACTGTGGATGTGCCATCTTGGAATTATACCATTCAATAAACCCCAAGCATTCCTTGGAGATCCCTCGTCAGTATGCTAGGTCTTCTTTCCTGCAGTTTGTATTTTTGTTTGCTTTGCCTCAGAGGATTCCCCAGATGCAAAGATGATAAAATCAATCTTTTAAGATTTACAAGATCCAACATTGCTATCTTCATCATGTGAAATGACTTACGCAGAATTTACAGGGAATTGTTTTCACTCATTACATTTTCATTTGTTCTTTTACGAGACCACTTTCCTTTATGCATATCACTAAGGCATGAAACAGAATGCGTCAGTTCTTTGATAATGTTGATGTCATATCAGATTCTCTGACAAGTGGCAGTTGCAATATGTTGCTGGGTAAAGCACAATATAGCAAGAAATACAGTTTTACTGCATGATAAAGATGAACATCATCACTTTTAAAGGTAAACGAAACTGTGTTATGCATTGTGAAATCAAGAAGCGCTTTTTAGATTTTCAGTGCAATAATCCACCATTTGAGCTTATATTAAGAGTTTTATGTAAAGATTGGTCGCAAACCAATGTGCAGTTTTTATTGTAACATGAACATTAAAGCTCAGAATAGATTTAGAGGATTCACTGACTTGTTTGAGATATAAACAGATTATATCAGCCCTTTTGGTACTTTAAAATTTGTCACAGATTTGAAAAGCTCATAAACAAAGGCTTTCAAAAGACGCCATGAAGGTCTTTGCTTTCCTACCAAGTCCAGCACTTACAGGATTGTTAAGTCATATGGAGACCTGCGACTGGAATTTTAGTGAATATAATGGGCAAGAGCGTTTCTTTTCATGAACTAACAGAGGTGGTACTTTCTCTACTACAAATTAGAACTCTTCAATGTTTACTCTCTTTCCATCCAAAAGTATCCAAACAGGAACCTAAGTAGCATCTTGAAAAAACTTTGAAAACTTAATATAACAGGATTCATTTGCTGCACAACAGAAGGCTAAAAATTTTCTTTTTTTTCTTTATTCATTCACGGGATGTAGGTGTTGCTGGCTAGGCAGCATTTATTGCCCATCTCTAATTGCCCAGAGGTCAACCACATTGCTGCAGGCATGGAGTCACATGTAGTCCAGACCAGGTAAGGATGGCAGTTTCCTTCCCTAAAGGGCATTAAGTGAGCCAGATGGATTTTTCTGACAAATCGACAATGGATTCACGGTCATCATTGGATTCTTAATTCCAGATATTTATTGAATTCAAATCCTACCATCTGCCATGGCTGGATGTGAACCTGGGTCCCCTGAATGTTATTTGTGTCTCTGGATTAACAGTCCAATGATAATAGCACGAGGCCATCACCTCCTCAGGCAATGTAATCTTCATTAAAAACACAATCAAAAATATTTTATCTTCCCAAAAACAGATCAACTAATAGTGTGTAGTACTGTTATAAAAAGGTACTGTGCCAAAAAATAACATTAAAAATTTGAGAATATACACTACCTACAATGTTTTAGTCCCACAAGGGTTCGCTCTTGTGATGACAGCATTAAGTTAACTATATATTTCTTGGCAGAGCCATTGCAAATACTTTGTTACAACATTTCACTTGCAGGTAAATGTTGCTGTGTTCTACCATTAGGTTATTTAATAAGCTCATTATAAAATGTAAGGTCACTTCTGCAGTCCAATTAAATTTTCTGTCTAAATTCATAACCACATTTTAACTAAACAAAGATTATTGAGTCATCTTCAAATCCAATACGTTTTCAATGAGTAGCAAAAGATGACTATTGCTATCATACTTTATCTGGTTTTCCTGGTTCTTGAAATGTCAATTTGCCACCTTTAGCAACTTGCCAGGCCTGATCAATGGTGAGCTCTCGGTTTTTCACTGCGTTGAGTAGCCTGAGCTGTTCATCATTGCTAAGCTAGAATGAATAACAAGAATATTGAAAATGTTAGCGCAGCAAGCAAACATGAAAGATGGGATAACTAATTAAACTGTTACAATTACAGTACAAGTCATTGCACCCATCTGTTAGAATCTTCCAAGAGAGATAGGCAACTTTTAAAAAGAGATAACAATTTCCCAGGAACAGATATGAAGGAATTGTACTTGAAAATTTCAAATTTAAGACTTTTACTTCAACAAACTAAAACCAACTAAACATTACTTAATAGGGAACTATTATATTTAACTACAGAGGTGGTATTTCCCATTAACTTCATAATGCAATCAAATCTATCTAACTCTAAAAGACTGCATGCAGCAGAGCCAGCTGCCTTCTCCTTCGTATCAAGGTGCTAAAACTTGTATTTAACTTTCATTAAGTCTTGACTGCAGCCTCTATCTCTTTAATGAGAAAGTCGCATGGGTTAGATTTCATATGAGATCACATTGACCTGTCATTGGCCAGGTTGTTTCAGAGTGACACTCTACCCTCTTCAAATTACTCCATTTTACCGTGAATTAAAGAATCATAGAATCATAGAATCCCTACAGTGTGGAAACAGGCCATATAGCCCAACAAGTCCACACCGACTCACAGGGCATCCCACCCAGACCCAATCTCCTATAACCCACCTAACCTACACATCCCTGAACACTACAGGCAATTTAGCATGGCCAATCCACCTAACCTGCACATCTTTGGGAGACAGCTTAAAACAGAACCAACTAATAAAGTTCAGCATCAGTAATATACCAAATAAAAATGTTTAAAATATTCAATACCCTGTGGATCATTCCTAGTTTTACTAAAGTCTTTAAATATAATAATTGGAGAAATTTACCCAGTTGCTTCCCCTTTCTAGCAAACAGTCAATTAACTTTTGGTTCATCTGAAGTTGGCAAGACAGAATGATAAGACTACCACAAAAGTAAATTAGATATTTAGCTATATAAATAGAGGTATAAAATACAAACACAAGGAAGTTATACTGAACCATTAAAAGGCACTGATTAGGCCTCAGCTGGATTACTGTGTCTAATTTTGGGCATCACAATTCAGAAAAGTCTCAGAGATTTTGCAAAGGGGATTTGCTAGAATGGTAAAAGGAAGGATGATTTTCATCTCTGTGGAAACAGAAGAGAAGGCGAGGTTCTTCTCCTATGAGAAGAAAAGGTTTTGGGTAGATCGATGGAACTGTTTAAAATTGTGAGGGATTGATAGAGTCAATAGGGAGAAACTATTTCCTCTGGCAAGAGGGTCAATAAACATTAGATACGAATTTAAGATAATTGGTAAAAGTACCAGAAAGGAGAGGAAAATATTACTTTCCCATAATTAATTGTTGAGATCTGGGATATGTGGTTTTAAAAGGTGGTGGGACATCATTCAATCATGTAATATCAACACAATCATTGGTAACTTTGCAGTCACCAAATGTGATTGATAGGGGACTACCCAATCAAGCTCAGTGATAGCAGAACTTGTGACGGTGTTGGGCTTAGCCCACCATGGCAAATCTTTGGCCCAAATACAGTAATGAACTAACCTCAGGTATCCTAATTCAAAGAATTATTCACAGATTGCAGAAGTGGTTCTCAGGAAGCCCATTTTAAAAAGAGGAATTGAAACGCCCCACATTTTGAAAAAAAATTTGCGATGTAATTAACTCAAAAATGCACACATAGGGATTTGACATGAATATACTAATGAGTTGTTTAACACCGATACAAGTAAAAAAACGAGAAAAGCAAAAAACTCTTGCCCACAGATCAGCAAATAAACTCAATTAGCTTTGGAATAGGTTGGCAACCGAGACTCAGTCAACAGACACAAAGAGCTAGTGAAATAAATGGCTGCCTGGTATTGTGTGTACTGACTCTACACACTGTCAAAAGAGGGCTACACTGGTTACCATGAGAGCAGCAATTGAATCATGTCAAAGATAAATGAATTAACAGATGATCCATGTCAATTTCTGAGCAAGAGGAGAGTAAGAAGGAATTTCCCAGAATTATTTCTTAACTTATTAACTCATGTACCTTATTTTCAGTTTTTCTGCCTCTTCAAGACAAATCCATGGCTCTTGATATCACAGAGGGTGGGGTAGAGGGTTGGGGGTGTTTGATATGAAATGTTTAGTCACAATATTCTAGGCATTATAAATGTAACTCAGACTTGCTGTACCAACTGGTCTTATCCTGCCATCTTTTCTCATATCTTCATTCCCATAAATGTCAACCAAAAGACAACCAATTTAAGACAATCAAGATTGCAACAAGGCTCAATTACTGTTAGCAAAAGTGACATACATTCATATGTTGGGACCTGTCCTGTGCAAATAAAAGTAATATGTTCTAGGCTTGTGCCTTTTATGAATTGCCAAGGAGCTTGAGAAGCTAAGAGGTCAGCATTGTTTTCTTCATGGCAATCCCTTGGCTAATTTCAGCTGGCCAACCAAGGAGCACACTTTTATACTGAGGTATAAAATGTTCTGGTCATTTGAGATTTGGCAATTTTACACTTGTCCTGTGAGTAACTGACAAAAAGCTTCAGTAAACTCTGTCTCTCTTTTCATCAAAATCCAAGTTTTTCACACGCTATTTATTATATTTTACAGGATCACAAACCCTGAAATCACATACTCCCAGGCTAGGAACTTCTGTCCAGCAACTTAAAGGTAACAGAAATGCTGAGTTGATGAAGCACATAAGTACATTTGTTTTGTATAAACAAAGAACTGTGGATACTGGAGATCTGAACCACACAAAAACAGAAATTGCTGGAGAAACTCAGCAGGTCTGGCAACATCTGTGAAGAGAAAACAAAGGAAGTAGTGGTGAATAGTTTTTGTTTTTAAATTGGAGGGAAATATGCCATTTTCTTGCGTGTAGACAGATTGATGAAATGGGAAAGCACAGTTACAAATTAACACTGAGGCGAGAAGTGATCAAACAAAAACAAGAATTGCTGGAAAAGCTCAGCAGGTCTGGTAACATCTGTGGACAGAAATCAGAGTTAATGTTTCAGGTCCAGTGGCCCAAAAACTTAACTGATTTCTCTCCACAGATGCTGCCAGGACTGCTGAGTTTCTCCAGCAATTTCTGTTTCGACACATTATTTTTAATTCCTGTGCCGTACAGTTATTACTGCCTACTTTTTTTAAATTTAAAGTGGAAGAGAACTTTTGCTCTTCTTTGAAAACTGTTCTAATTGTCAATTTTTGAAATCAATTGTTTTACAGGTTATTATTGTTTTAAGATATAAAGTGATTGGGAGAAAAAAATACATATTTTCTGTCCTTAGGAAAACGTCCAATTCGATAACCAGGAATGGGTTCTGCTAACTGGATGGTCATTTCATTTAATGTTGTAAGTAGGATATTTACAACTTGTCACAATCCCTAAATTCTCCAACCTCCATACTGGTCAGATACTACAAAGGTGATGTTGGAGGCCTTCACGACATTCACAAATTTTGCCTGTTACATGAAAATGCTTAATTTTAACCATTTTTATTTCTAATTAACCTGCTCATGGATGTCATTAACACCTCTGGAGTAACAAACTAGTCACATCCAATTTCCTGAGCTACCACTTCTAAGTCCTTCCCCCATCTCTCCCCAAGTACTGCTGCAAACTGCATATCTTCTCTGCAGTCCCATGAAGAGCCACTTTTCTTACTGTCCTTTCCCAATTCTTTATCATCTATAAATACAAGACACATGGCAATAAAGCACTATTCTACCATTCTCCATCTCCAACGTTACTCCTTCTTCTTCACAACAGCACTCTAATAATGTCTCTAACTTTCCCAAAATACTAAAATATTTATTCCAGTTTCCTCACTCTCTTTATTTGCCCCGATTGTTGTGTTATTGTCTCTTGCCCCCTCGCTTCCCCACTGAAAGCACTCCTTCCAAGTATTCCTCACTCTCTTCTTGTTATCAATGGCTGTTAGACAATGCAATCACTCACTTATCTAATATTTAATGCTTCAAACAAGAAAGCAACTAAATAAAACTTAGTTGAGGAAATAGTGGTTAAGATTTTCCATGTCTGAATAATATGTACTGTTCTCAACTCTGAAATCAGTGAACATACTGTAGCGAGGAAGAGAACCTCATTAAATTGAAAATCACAACTTGTTGGTCAATTTGTACCATTCCAGCAACAGCTTTAAAAAAACTGGTAGTTTGCCCTAAGTCTATCTATGCAGCTAATGGAGCTACACATCTATTGCTCTTGAAACTTACCATTGCAAATTGAGACTACAAATTAACAGCAACAACACTCTTTTAATGTCTGCCAATCAAACTTTCTCTCCTTGAAAATAAATATTAAGGAGAGCTTTCATGGCTCACATTAAAATTCTCATCCCAAGATGCCTCGTTACAGCAAAATCTCTGTTTAAAGTTTTTGACCTCAGTCATCCCAGTTGGTTACGGTTTGTTGACCACACATCATTCATCTAAATGCCTTTATAGAGCACTCTAATCATGGCTGAATCAGATCTTGTTCCAATGAAAAGATACATCTCTCAGCTTCAAAATACATAAATCACCAATCGGTAATTCTACAGGGTAATGTGGCCGTTTGCAAATATCCAATTTTCTACTTTCTTAGGCTTCTTGTATTTCTCCTTCCTGAGGTTGACAGGAATTTTTACTTACATAATGCCAGGCAGTATCATTCCATACTTTCATTTTCTGTGCCATGATTAATTTTGTGTGCGACCTCTTCCTGTAGTCTCTCTCTCTCTCTCTCTAGTGCTTAAGCAGATTGAATAACTTTCCGCTGAAATTAATAATGTACAACATAATCCTTTCTAACCAATGTCTCCTTCAAATCTATCCATCCATGAACTGACTCTGATAGGTTCTCCCAGCACAGAATACTGTATGAGGTTTCTCCACTCACCTTATTCATTTTTTAATCCTTCAATTGCTACATCAAAGTGCTCCCCCTCTTAACAGGATA